AGATTGATGAACTCTGTTGAAATTTTATTGCTATCATCCGAATGCGATGTTGAATTCCTTGAGTTGACGGAAGGTGCATCATCTGGGGCAATCTTGAATGCCGAAGAGATTTTAACGGAAATCTGATAAAACGATAGTGCAATCACTGCACTGCTTAAGCACTCAACATCGACCTGAGAATGGCATCCGTGCAGAAAGTGTAAAAAGTTTAGCAAATAAAAACTTCGATGGATCATCAATGAAACACTTAAAAGAACTGCTTAGCAATTTTGAGACTGCTGAATTATTGTCGTTCTCTGACATCAAGTCATTTTGTTACAAACTGATTTCTGCATTCAATCAAACAAATCATATTCATTCAAATAATTCATTCGCTTTCATTATTCATCTGTCATCTCAAGTATCTACTCGAATTGACTTTTTCGAACAAATCTGAATGGAATTTTGTTGAAGTCGATGAGGAGGAGCGGGTTTTTATGCATGAAACATTTGTAATTATTGCAATAAACTGATTCGGAAAAAAAATGCTGCGAAAAGCTCCGTAAGAATGTTCACAAAGTTGAACAGATGAAGAGAATGATTCAGTATTGAAACTTTCATAGAGTGTTCGCTTCATTCAACTGAAGGTGAAAGATGGTGTGAAAAGATCTGTATGACATTGAATGATCCTTGAAAATGAGCAATGCTAGAAAGCAATCACGTTTTTGCAAAGTTCCACTTTGAATGGTGCTCCAACTTATCGATACTATTATCCAATTCACATGTTCCCAAAAAGCCAACCGAAGTGTGGCACCGTTACAAAACTACGAATACTGATTCCTGAACGATTCAATAAACTCAAAATCAGTTTGTTTTTTTTTGATGCAAATGACTATTCGAAAATTTCTCAATTAACGGTTCTTCTCTCAATCTCTTTGAGAACACCGAGCAAAAGACCACCGAAATGAGGTGAAGAGGAGAGTTAGTGTAAAAGTCTGACAAATCTTGTGCAGTTCGAATGACAATAGGAGGAAAGTGAGCTTCGTATGAACAGTGTTATGCGATCCGTTCGTCACAACAGTTGAAACGATTAGTGAGCAGTCAGTTGCGATCGCTTTTCAGTATAAAACGATAATCGCTAAGGACGACGCGAATGTTGTTTGCACTTATGGGCATTACATAATTTGGGAGATGGGTATTATATATGCTGCAAACGGTTTCACTTAGAGCTGAGTTGAGAAATACTTTTGTGATTGAACGAAACATTTCTTGAGAAAGAAGTAATGTTCAAAACAGTTCTTAATGAAATATTATCACTTAGTTGCGAAAGTCAAATTTCCGCCAACCTAATCTAACTGCTTAAGAGAAGAAATTTTCAAAAGAATTCGCAATAAATAATTCCCAAATAACCGTTCATAGGGGAATGTGAATAAGATAGATGGCTCATAGAAGACGATGGTGACACGGAATGATGACCTCTAAGAAAGGAATGGAAATGGAACCTTTCGGGGAAAAAAACTTAGCAAAATCGGCAAGAATAACACTTTAACATCCTTCCATTCGTGTGATAAGTTGAAAGTGTGATCAATCCTTCTGGTTGAAATTATGATCAATCCTTCTGGATGACGACTGAATAACTTTCGAAAAGGATGAAAAAATCGCTCGCGGAGAACCGCATAAATTGTGAAGAACTTTGTAAATTTCGATAGAAAATTTCAACCATAAGTTTCGCCGATTGGATGGCAAAATAGCGCAACGATAGTGAATTAGTGCTGTGACGCGGAAAACCTATAATTTGGAACTGGGCATTCATCGTCAACCGGATAGAGCATTGCTAAGTGATATCAGTAATAGTATAGTAATGATGATGATAATCGGCTCGTTCAACTGCAATGAATGAATGCGATACGTCCATACATACATATACATATACACAGTCAATTATTTTCACTGACTAACTCTATTCAATCATCAAAATTCAACGATAGTTTGCAAGCATTATTCTGCATACAACATTGCCGGCTGGTCCATATTCCATTCGAAATGATCACGCATAATTAATTCACATGCCGATCCATTCAGTCAGTTACCAATTTTATGCGCTTCTTCATTACCGCAAATCACGACAAATGCAATCGTGAGCAGCTCACAATCCACTCAAACAACTCACACACTTCTGTACAAAATAGCGATTTGTTCACGGATGACTCCCCTTCTCTCGAATATAGCTCATTAAACAACTATGAAAATTTCTAAAATTTCAGTCAATCCCCCTGAATTAGATATTAAAAATGGGATGTAAAAGAGATTGAAATGTTCTCACGAAAGAATTATTTCCACGGAACTACGATAAATAAATTCGCATCATCAGAACAGTCAACAAATTACTGCAACATAATCCTAGCCATAGAACAGTTCACCCTAATGAATCAGTGATGGTTGGAATACAGATTGTGTTCAACGTTTCTGTTCAATCTGGTCAACTGCTGGTAAACAGCTAAGCGCATCAAGAAATGAAACAGCTAATTCAACCTGGATTCTTACCAACAAATAGATGATTATTCAACGCTACTCGTAAGAAAAAGAGTGAATTTTTCATTAATTACTCTGAGAATGTGTGATAAGAGAGGAGTTCGATCAGATTAATAAAGCGCTATCTGTGCGATTTGAACACAATGCAAAAGTAATCTAACGTTGCTCACTAATTCAATAACGATGTAACCTTATCGAAGAAATGTACCAAACAGAGACTTATTTATAAGCACTGCTCGTCGATCTCAAATGAAAGAAAGCTATCAAAACTGAGCGCTTCGTGAATAGCTGCGAAGAGATGAAATTAAATGAAGAATGTAATCTAAATGAGCTGTCTTAAGGACAACGTGTCGACCGAAGACGATTGATCAGTTAGGAATGTAGATGAACGGCTGGCTCATCGTAAGGGGCAAATTTTCATTTGAGTAGAGAAGATGCTTTCAACACATCACCATCATCACTTCCATTCAAATTATCCCCCAAAAAATTCTAATCCCATAACAAAAAGGTATGGGATTGGAATCTGTTTGAGAGAGGGGACTTTGGTCTCAGTAATGCTTCATTATTGAAAACGTTTTATGCGGGGACTCACGTTCAATGATCATAATTGAGCAAGAAACGACTTAATCTTCCATCGAACTGTTCGCATTCAACAAAGATGAAGGCTAACATAACTTCATATTTGCCTGCTCTAAATTCCACTCCCGGAATGGAATTTGCAGAAAAGAAGCGCTACATGAAAGTGGCCTACTTGTTGTCTCCTCGGATGCGTTGCTGATTACAGGTGCCGTCTGACATGTCTCGTTTTCTGGTACGTTTGCATACGGGACGGCACTTGATGAACGCTTTTTCTGAAGAATTCGTTGCAGTTTTGAAAATGCAAAAGTGGGCTTCTTTCGAGAAACTTCTGGCTCACTTAGATCATCTTCTTTCTATAATTTGGCTTCAGAAAATTTCGGTTCGATGCAACAGCAATTAAGATAGTGCATGAATGAGCAAGTTGAACAATTAAGTTTTTTGATATGGCAAGAAGATGCCATTCATCATTATGTCCCCATTATAAATCACTTCGGAAACGTTCGCTTTATTATTCCAATTGCGAAAAGATTTCGGCTTAATTCCGCGAACTCTCGAAATCTTTTCGCAATTCTAGTAAACTTGATAAGAACTTAATGAGTGAGAAAAAAATTGAAGTGGTGGTCAATAAAAGGGATTTGTCAAAGAGTGCCCAATAGATTTGATCTGTCTTCGAAAGAAATATTAGAGATTATTTATCATCACGGTGCTCTGTCAATGAGACGTAAAGTTGGCCGATGTTTTCATTTAAAATGAAGGATTATCATTGTTGCACAACTTTCTTGTGACTTGTTTTAAAAAACAAAATGAAATTCTCATTTAAGACTTCAAATTTCAAGATGAATAAAGAAAACAACAAAGTATATTCACCTTGTCTCGAATGGCACGTCTATTAGCATATCTTAAGGCAGGTGCCTGTGGTGATCCGCTCGACATTTTACGCGTACTTGACGATGACAGTGATGAGTTGTTGGCTGTGGAACTTGAATCAGGTTGCGGTTGCATCGTGAGAGTATATGCGTTATTATGATTAGTGGTATTTGGCGTTGCGATCACTGCTACTGAACTAATCGATCGTTTTAATTGCTCATCACTCTACAAAAGTCGTTTACATTTATCTGGTTAACCCGACAGAATACGACTGTTATTCATTTGAACTATTTTACACATCACCATCATCGCATCAATATCAATGCTGTATGGCACCATGTTACGCGTTTAGGAGAAGTATTTGAAATTTATTATAGCGTAATTCGCACAGGACTGTAGTCGTACTTTTAAATACACTGATTTTGGAAAATTGTTCAGTCATAAGAACAGTTAAAATTTGCTGAATATCATAGTGGTTCGTAGATACCGATCGGTAATCCCTGCTTAGTTTAGGGTTCATTGAAGAACACCACTTTCATTAGATGTATTCTTGGTAGCCGATAATGACTGTTGAAAAGTTTGTTGAATGAATGAAGCATAGAGACTGATGAAGAAATGGTTCGAATCGTTTATCGTTATTTGCAAGAATGATAAAGTTGAACAGATGCAATCAGCAATTTGAAACGTACCGTTAGATTCGAATCGGGCTCCTTGGCCATAAACGTCGATCTTCTTGAGCAGTGCGTTACTGGAGTGGTTGGCGTGTCCTGAGGCTGCAAGAAATTTCACAATTGGAAACCTTTTCAATTGCAATAACGAAGTGTAACATAATACAATAAGGAAGTAATGAAGAATTCCGAATACATTAATTTTTGCATGAATCCAATTTATTTCAGCATTACTACTCCAAAAATAAAACATTTCGGTGCAATATTCCATTCAGAGCTATAAGGCACTTTTCATTCGAGAAACTATCAACACTTTATGATTTTGGTATGAGAACGCAATTCTGAGATCAATCGCGGGAAAGACATTGATAATACCTATAAACCAACTAAGTAATTGATTAGAACGAATAATGATACCATAAGAGACTGCTGAATCAGACTGAACTGATAGAGATGTGCTTTCTCTTGACAAATACTCCTTCCACATTCACCGTGCAAGAAGGCAAATGCTCCAGAAGAACATTGCCGGAGCGAGACACGACCAATTGGGAAGTGGTGACTCAGCAGTAACTGAAGACGATTCCAGTGCAATGGGCTGAAATTTCTTCGGTCTTTGAAGAGGATGCTCCCTTGAACTAGGCACACGACTGACTGATTACTGGTAATTCAAAGAGAGTAGTTATCTGAGTCAAAATGATTATCATCAGCCTGATCACGGACTACCTATTTTAATATTACGCTCACCAAATTCACTCATTTAATATGAACCTACTCTTTCGGAACTATATAAAATGCTTTCTCAGCTTTCTGCACGAAAACATTGTTACCAGTAGACGTTTTTGATCGCTGATTTTACTGAAATCGCATACAGTTACTTTCTACTGATATGACCTGCATTTGAATTGCACTGGTGTATCATAGGCTGGAAAGTGATCTAGTGTATTGAGATGAACTACCATCCCCCTATGCCACAAACCACTGACCCTAATTCAAGTTTCCACAGTTGTGGTTGAGCATCAGGTTTATCCAGGCGTTGGTGATAATAAACGAGCAAAGTCTCATTGAGCAAAATATGGCATCTATTAGCATATCTACTGCTTGGTCGTTCGCCTTTCACATCCGGATATGTGTTCAGAATGCGAACTTCAGAACGATCACTTCCAGCAATTGATACACACAACAAATTATCACCAAAGCGATTGAATAAATACAGTCGATTGCGAAATATGAACGGGTCACAGTAAAGCGCTGAAATATCAATCCGTTTACTGCTATATCTCATTACGTCACACCAAAGGTAATTCATATCACAAATCATGAAATATCATCGCTTATTGAAGTGTTTATTGTGTTTCAACTTTAATTTATTTCATCCTTCATCCAAGAATATGATGTTGATTATTGTTGTATGCGCACTGACAATTATGCCACCTACAATTATTTTCACACTTCTTGAGTATGGTTGCCGGTGATCATCAGAAGCATTGTTGATTTCATAAAAGTGACGTATTAAGCAAACTGTTGGAAGTTCAAAACTTTTTACGAACATTTTGGGGCCGTTCAAGGAAAGTTCAACTATTATGAGCTCAGCAGATCACATCTTACCATCATCATCCTTAACTTTCGGATACAGCGATACAGTACGGATTCCTTCTTTCGTATAAAGATCATGAAGATGAAGTAGTTGAATTACTGCACTGTCGTATGTTTCGTTGCAACCTTCTGACTGCTGTTGTGGTTGCTGTTGGTTGTTGCCGCGACTGAATTTCGTCGGATGTGACACAAGTACCGGTCCGGTTTCATCGTAAATCAATGACACTGAATGGTGTTTCCTCAAAACACTCCGCATTGTTCTCTTGATAAAAATCAATTTGATAAGCGAAAAATATTTGGGTGAGATGACCATTCGTGTAAACTGAATGTGCTTTCAATTGCATTCGTTGGAAAGCAACGAACTTTGCTGCATATTTTTGATCGTATTAATGTTCCACTTACTTTCTTTACACAGATTAAAGATTTACATGTATTATTTAGGCATGTTTTTGCTTTACATATGTTATAGGTTTGCGATCTCTGACTCTTCTGTGCACCTTATATACATATGCGTATTTATTTGCATAACTTCTTTATTAGGAACTATGAATTGATGAAAAGAAATGAGTGGAAACATGAACGAATGCCGAATAAAAGCACACAACCTCAACGAGATTTTGGTTGGCGTGATCGGTGTTATAACGTGCATTGCCTTATGTTCTGGCATAAGATGCGCTTTGAACGTGTACAAGTTGTTCGTGCTGTCTTGAAGTATCACCACAACACTGTGCTCGTCAATAAATGCGAAATCATAAATCTGCAATTTTCAACAGCGATTGCAGTGGAATTTTGCAGTGCTCTTCAACGCGATGCATTAGCGAAATCATTTGAAATTCACAACAAACAAGAATTTGTTTCAAAAAACGACGAATTAACGATCGTTTTGAAAACAAAAAAGAAACGTTCATTTGAAGAAGAAACTTCTTAGACAAATAAAATGTGGATGTGTGCGTGAGAGCGAAGAAAAATCAAACATTTCAATGTGAAATATGACATTGAGTGTTTGTTCATAAAATGGAACGATGTTAAAAATAAAGGGGATTTAGAAATTTTTGTGAAGTTTGCGTAACACAAAAACTTGGAACCAGAAAATGCAATCAATTGTTGATTGGCTTGGAAACGAAACAATCTGGAGTGATTTTTCGAATAAAGCGAAAAACCAAGAGCCTCTCTTTGTTTTTTGATCATTCCCATAAGCAATCGTTTTTGCACTCCAAAGATTCAATGATTCAGTTTTGCACTAAAAAGGCCCTCTACAACACATACCCTCCATTCTCATATGATTGTTCTTATCGAATAACAACTACTTTATCGCTTGTTCTTTCTATCTACCCCACTCCTTGTTTATCTTTCCATAGCCCACGCAAATGCAAAACACCTGACGATCTGTCATTTGCCTGCTTGTTCGGCCAGACTTTCTTTGCGAGAAAAGGATGGCTATATTCGACATCTCCACTACCCCGATGGATTCTCATCTACACAATCGATTTTGAAATTGTGCTCATTATCTGAATCTAGGAACATGAATCTTATTGAAATGATTGATCCCCATATCGAAGAACGACGCAATTGATCGATAAATAACAGTAGCACACAACAGAGGAATGGTCGTAGAATACGTGTTGCAATAAGAAGTAATCGATGCTGAAAGAAGCACTGACCGTATCGTCGCTATGCCGTACACCAATTCCATGAATTACGATATCGGTGCTTGGTGGTGTATCCTCGATATTGTACCAGTACAATGCAAGGTTGTTTTTCCTAAATGAAAAAAGAAGTAGTAGCAGTTGCTGTCACGATAGATTCTATGAGCTGACCACGCATTGCAACGGAGAGAGGATGCCAGTCGAAAATGCAAATCAGGATCGTAATCACAGCTCAATTTACTGATGCTGAAATTCCGGATGACATTTTGGTGGCCATGATAGATGGTTAACAGCTTTAAAATTCTCATCCAGAATTTCCTTCATTGAAGCACTGAGACTGCCGATCAGTGCTAGATTTGTAATGTCCTGCGCTAAAGCCGAAAATACATCACCAATGAGAACTGACGAAAAAATTCGGATCATGAGAAGATAAAATTTGCTCGACGAAAGACAAACTTTTCATTGTCAATCACCATCATTCATCGAAGGTAATAAAGTAATTTATTGATTGATCGATCAACATTCCGTGTCCGATCACAATCAATCAGAAACGAATATTCTGTCGGAATAAAAAAACGATAATGAGAACGACATAAAGAAATTCGGAAGGTAAAAATTTCAAACTGCATCTATTTCAAATAGAAAAATCAGAATGAAAAGAGAAGAAAAATGACTGTGTGAATAATGTGCACGAATTCGATGTTTTTCCATAAATGTGAGAATGGACATTTTAATGGCCTTGAACACGTTACATGACTCATTCACCCATTCTTTATAATATATTCGACTCATCATTTTCTTTGAAACAAACTTTTTAGGTTCTTTCATTTATAATAATAATGAGAACAATAATGAATATATTTTTGGAGCATATTTTCGAAATTTGATTCCTTTTGCTAAGACTTATGGCATCAGTGTTAATCTGCTGTGCAAATGCAATTCTGCGAGACGCAATCTACAAACAGCTCGTTTCAAGAGCAACTCCCATTCCAGTCAAATTTTTCGAACAAATCCAGTGGGGAAACTCAAGGTTCCCAAATATATGAATGTATATTAAAGTATTCAGTATTTTAATGGCTGCAACATTTTTTTCAATCAATTTTCACGCATTCTGCATGCAGTTCACAATGAAAAACCGTTCTCAGTATGATAAAGATTGTTTCGAATCAATGAAGAAGTTGAATGTAGATGCTCTCGAATATTCTCGAATCAAGGAACAATCGATGTCGAAGAAAACTTCCAACGCTGAGTTTGTTTCAATCGTAAGAGCAACCGTCTGATCCACAAACGAATGATCAGTTCTAGCTTGGCAGCGTCGTTTACACATTCAATTAAACATAACGCAAGTTCGCTAAAGTTTGAAGAAATGAACTCATTGATTCAATAATAAAAGTTCCGTGTGCACAGCTTGTTTACTTTCAGCACATAAACTGTTTATAAGTTTTCAACTAATATCGACTTGCCTCTCAAATGTTTTCGTTGAGGAGAATTTTCATCTGGTCTTCATTAAAGACTTCGAAGATTGCATTTCACCTATTCATCTCATCGAAATACGTTTACGTTTGCTTGAAAGAAGATACACACGTGTCTTCGTGATAGTAAATTATCGTAAATTGTAACACGTTCAGCTATAAGATGAACGTTCAGCGAGTGAAACTTCATATCAGCAACACATCCGAATGAGACTCGATCAATCGGGAAGCTAAGGGAATGAAAAGTTGCTCGTTGGTTCTTCATCGATAGTACGATACTCTGATTACACGGAATTTGGTTCCAACAGAAAATTGAGAGACAAACCAATTAGCTGCGTAAAACAGTGAATATATGCAAATTGATCTCGTCATTACTTTCAGATAATGCAACGAAAAATACAACGAATTTCGTCATCAATAACAATAACACAACGAAAGCTGCGATTTGAATTTAAAGAGAAGCAAACTATAAATTATCGCGAGAACTGATTGCGACTCGAGGAAGCGGACGAACGCCCGCACCACAGACAGTAGTGATTTCTTGCGATCAATGGACCCCCTCATTCAAATATCCCCTTATCGAGCGCCCAGTCTTATCATTATCATTACAGTCAAACGCTCCATCCATACCGAAGCAAATCAATAACTCAAGGCAGAACTTACTTGAACAATAATTGTGTCCCATCAGGGGATGCAGTCATATTCTTGTAGGCCGTAGCAAAGCCAGTGAACGATTGCAAGTCTTTCATCGTGTCCGGTTCCGATTCAGACAAATCGCACGACGATTTACTCGAACGTTTGAGTATACTCAGATCGAATAAGCTCGCGGCCTGTGTTAGAACCATACTCATTGTTCATAAACACATACAGATAACCAGTACTCGTAATTGTGTATGGGCGTGGCAGGTATAATAGTTGTGTGTGAGAATATCGAGAAGAACGGCAAATGATGTGACGACTGATTGCTGTTGTTGGCAACAACTGGAAAATCAAAAAAATGTGTGTAGAAATCAAAAAGGAATACTTAAGGTATATGTGACAAGTGAATTATTGCTATTGTAATGAATTTGCATACGTTGCAAATAAATAAATAACCACAATAATGCAGTTGGAAACTATAAATTTTCGCAGATTCGTTCACCATTTCCAAAAATCATCGATCTCGAGCAATCGTCATGAAATTGTTAGTGGCTACACAGTTTTTGTTAATGGCTACTAAAGAGTTATGTTCATTTTGATTGATAAACCACTCATTATGATGAATGACACATCTACTTCATTGCTATTCGTTGTGTGCACACTCACGATTCTACGTATCACTCACTGCCAGCTGACAACAAAAAAACAGCTCAACTGCATTGCCCTAAAATTTGTTTTTTGGGTAAAAAGTACTGAAAATAATAACAATTAAACGACGACTGAACGATTATAACAATTGGCACAAATTTGGATATTGTTTGACAATGAAATGATTAGTATAAGATATGAATGATAATGACTATGGCAAGTTATGGTAAGCATGATGATGCAAAGTTCTTGTGTGCAATCGACGATTATTGTATGGCAGTAAGAAGTTCCCTTTCGGAGGTAACGACTTCGAATAGGTGTGTATTGCCCGCAAGACGCAAACTCAACTTGTAAATCATTTGTATCGCATCGTCACAGTTGAAGAACAAACATACGTTGATAGTTGACAACAGAACATATTCTTGACTGCATCAAAACAGAGCAAACCAACTGCTATTGAGAAGGCAATTATAACAGCAGAGCATATTTTTAGATTCGATCATAGGCGTTCCAGATTCGATAAGAATTAGATCAGACTCATCCAAAATGAACGTTTGTCAATTAGGAGCCAATAACAAAATTAGTTTGAAATTGTATACTTGCTAAGGCTGCCTCATAATCGTCATCCGAAAAATTATCAACGCAAAAACTGCGAGCACCTGACCGAACGAAATGGCTCATTTGCAGTGGTTATGACTGCTGATCGATATCAGTAAATTTTGAAGAGTGCACCACAAAACAAAATCATGATAAGGAAGGTAAGCGTTGCGTTAGTCATCTTCACAACACACATAATTCCATGTGTCATCGGTGAGATGTTTGCCTGGATGTAATACGTTGAGCGAATATCATCAAAAAATTTACCATCACATCAATCAATCAAATGCATGAAGAATACTGAAACTGTTCTTACATTGCCAAATCATCGTTCTTTTGAAATGTTCCACTAAATGAACTACACAAATTTCAGTTCAAAAAATTTTGGCTGCATTCGAACAGAACTTAATGAAATGAATTCCAACGCTAGTAGTTTACAGACTATTAAAAACTCCGATCGTTCAATCCGCATAAAACCACTAGATTCACTACGTGACCGGACAATCTGCCTGAAAACGTTTTGCCTAACGACAGTTTGTCTAAAGATATTGCCTAACGGACGGTTTTTAATGGATATTCTGCCTATTAGTCAAACTGTCCTTAGGCAATACGTCTTCAGGCGAAATGTCCGGGATTCACTATGGAAAGGAATCAAGAAAAAGTGATGATACTGGAAAATGAGCGACTTGACAGCAAACCTTAAGGGACGTTAAATGTATCATTACGATCATTCTGTAATGATACCGAGAATCAAAAAGTATTAGAAACAATCGTAAAAATAGAGTAGAGGAACTGTAAATATCAATAAGAATAATGATACTAAGAACAACAAAGGTGGAGGATGAATATGAACAGGAAGCAATCGTTTAAAGGTTTTTCATTGCCCAGTCTCATTGAACTTGTCATACGTTTCCGTCTGTAACTGATCAACTTCAAGTGCTCGAGATAAAGGTAAGGCAACATGGTCAAAAATGAAATTGATACAAATGACGAGTTATTGCAAGAATGTTTGCAAAGTAACAATCGCAGTCGTTCAGAAAAGGAATGCTAAATGGTTAAGGACACAGAGACGCAGTCAAGGATCATCAAGCAATAAATAAACATTCTATCAAAACGATCAATGCGTCATCAGCAGAATAAATGATATTTCTTATGAATGTACTTTCTGAAATCATAAATGTTCAACCAGAACTTTGTATGAATTCAACTGATAAGAACAAACAACAATAGCAAATAAGCCCTGATAACGGTAATGAACGATGCTGATTGCAGCTTACAGGTCCGATCAATACTGATGAAGATCTTTGAAAGGGACAGCATTCCCTTGTACAAGCCATTGACAATCACACAACATTATTGCGAGAAAGCAACAGACAGTGGCGCTGTTATTCCCGATGATTGCAAGCAATCATCATAAGAAAATCTACTTGTAGTGAAGCGAACACGACTAACTTATGCAATTCGAGAATGCCGCCAAATTGATTTGCGAGAACATCAATCGATCATGAACATGCAACAACAACATCACTCAGTGGAATGAAGGATAGCTATCGCATCTCAGATTTTATTGCAAACTGCAATCAGCATGGATGAACGCATCAACTAAATAACAGCTTCAGTCAGTAAAGCTGTTGAAATAATTAACTGACTGTAACCATTAATGATATGATATTCAAGAACTGTAGTCAAGCTGAGAACGAAGAATGAAGTTAAGCGGTGCAGTTCAACAGCAGTTAAGATGCGAAACGATGATGCCAATGCAACCTGGCCATTGATATCACTGAAGATGGTAACTGCTACGAATTTTGAAAGCAATTCCGACCAACGTCTCATCGTAACAAAAAACGTTCAGTAAACAAGTCGTCAATTCCTATAATCATAATACAAGGCGATCTTACAATCAAAACTATTCATCCAGTTTCGATTATCGCTTCAAAACAAAATGCTGACAACGCTAAAGGATTAGCGAATTACTGATCTTTTGAATGCGATCAGCATGATAAAAAGTCAATATCTTAATAAGATTCATTCTTTCATAAGACTTGGTTGATATAATCGCCTAGATGCCAAATGAGAACAGCAGCAATTAGTTGCGAATGGAACGAAATAACGTTTCGTCATCAAAAAACGAACGACGGTGACAGTGTTAGTTTCTCATGCTGTGAACATGGAAATGAGACTGATCTTAATTGAGGTGACTTTAACTAATAGTATAATCGAAAACGGAAATAGTCAAAAAATTATTTGAAATTTGATGGAATTCGTTGCTGTTGAAAGAGATGTAGAAGAGTTGGTACGGTTGAAGTGTTTAAGGTCACAATTGGAATTTAACTCATTAAAAAACAAAATGAAATTTAGTCATTAAATGAAGCGATTGCAAAAAATAACTTTCTTCGCACATTCGTTCACTCATTGCTGATTGTTCATTCATTAAATACCTTTCAAGTCGCTTTCCCCATCACGAATTCGAGTTATTCAACATTACCGGCATAAATCATCACTCCTTCATCAGCGAAACAACAAATCAAATCAAATAACTGCGCATTGCATATTGCAAACTAAACGCTTCTTGCCATTCTTCTTAAGTGCCGAGTCTCAACGGTAAAACAAAACAAAACGAAATGAATTCAGTTCATTTGCAATCAACTTTTTTTGGAAAATTTGAATTCTAACAGAAATGTGAATATTTCATGAAACAAAAAACAACATCTGCGCCATAACTAGTGAATGAATGGCGAGAATAAGCGCTGTTCATTGTTCTTCACACGAATACGCATCCAATGAACACAACTTTTTAAAACGCCTACTAAGAGTTCTGCTCCATTGAGCGATTCAACAAAACGTTATCTGCGACCATCATTTTACACCCAATAAGTTGTTATTGTTGTCGACTCTATTTTTTTTTGAAATTTTCCAGTTGATATAAATAGTTTCTGGTGTTAAGTTGGTAAACGCTAAATATTACCTCATTTACGATCTGAACAATCGGTTTTCAATCTGTACTGATAGCGTTTATCACACAAATGTCTCGAGAGCAATTTGAAGAAATCATTTAGAGAAATTTTAAATTCATTCCAAATATTGTCATCTCAAATGGCTGTAAAGCAATGATTTTGAAATACAGATAATTATTTAAAACAAAAAAAAAACTTCATTCTTGTGCTTGAACAAGTTAACGATAACAGATGGCATTTGATGAGTGATAAGGACAATTGCAACTGAAAAATGCAACGTCAAGTCCTGTTTCGATCACCACTAATGTCAATTTTGCAAACAAAGGCGTTAACATTTTTTTAATCTTCCTAGAGGCAGAAGGACGAAATAGCTCGGTGTTTCGTTAACACTCAGCCAGCATACAAACGCCGCCATATAGATACGACTAGTGTTCGTCGGGGAGCAGTTTATCGCACGGGGGGGGGCTCCCCACGGGGAGAAAAATGGACGGGGGGTCCCCGCGAAAAAGTCGGGAAGCAAATTGCGCGGGAGGGAGCGCTCCCCGCGTTCCCCACCTGGGTCCCCGTTCCCCGACGAACACTAAATGCGACTAACGCAAACTGATCAATGTTCCTCACTAAATATCTTGCATTGAATAGGTGAAACGACGCTTATTAATCAAGATCTCTTACAATCAATCCGTTGTTCAATAAATCAACTGCGTATGTTTTGTGATACGAAAAAAGTTCGGCTGACAACAACGTGTGAATAAGATACAGTTTGCGGGAGGCACAGTTTGTTGCGTCTTCCTTAAGGTTTTATGCACATTGCGCAGCAACGAGTAATACGTTCAAAAAGGGAACTATCAAAATATTTTCATCCAAACGACAACATGACACACAGCAATACATGCCATTAAAGCTCCATTGAATTAGCTGCGTTTGCTTAATCGAAAGTGTAAATTCAGTTGAATGGTGAATGAAATTCGCGAAGAACATTTTAAAATATCAATCGCATCATGTCATCCCTTCATAAGTTCGAAAATTAGGCATAATAGTAAACGGAGAAGACACAACATCCGTCTTCTTAACTCGTGTACAGTGTAAAATGTGAAATGCGTAATGAGCACAGGCGATTTTATTAATGAGATTGGTACCAATGAACGCGTTTGTAAATAGGTACATTCGTAAATAAATAAATGAGTGAATGTGTATTTTAAAGAGTTAAATTTTAAAGAATTTGATGCAAAAGAAAATCTCTCAAATGTGAACTGACATTTTAAAACAACACATTAACAGGAAAAACGAGCACAAAAATAAATGATCGCACTACACCGCCATCATTATTGCGATCACATAAAATATTACAACATCAGCGCAAACGACGATTTTTCGACTTCTCATTAATGAGAAAAGACTCAGCTATAGGCTTCAAGTAGCGAACCCTAGAGAGTAGGCAAGACGCGCATAATTATGAAACATTTTTATGTTTTGCACGTGCTCAATGAAAAATTAATCTTGACGGCGATTACAACTAGAATAAGATATTTACAGACGCGAACAGCCGAAAATGTGTTAGTTCATATGGTTAATATGGAGGCATTAACACAATTCAGAATTTGATGTATTTCACAGCGAATCTTGTTAGGTGATGATCAGTATGAGATTGTTGATGGACAGATATTCAGCAACAGTGAATGCATCGCTGCAAATAGCTTTGAAATACGCTCAAGTTTTGTGGTATAGCATTTTTGAACAACGGAAGATTTTATTTATTTTCGCCATAAAAATTCTAACTTCGAATGGTGAGTGTAAAACGGAATATATGAATTTTGCAATAAAATCAAATTAACGAGCCTGATTAATGAGTTGCGCAGTTATGCCGACAATGAACATCAACGTTCAGAAATGTTTGTGGATCACGAATGCGCATGAATTAGTGCTTTACCAATCTATCGCTTTCGCACTTGTCGTTGACTCTATAATGCGGTCGAACAATCGTTAATTTGAATCGCTGCCTTGTCCAAACTAATGATTTTATTGACGACCACCACGAAGAGATATTTTAAAACAACGAACAAATCTGCGCTATTTCCCGGATTGAATACGGACAAAAAAGTTTCGAATGGCGACGAAAAATGGAAAAATCTTGATGACAAGTTTTTGGATTTTGAAGAAGGGCACAACGAGGAACAAATTATAGGTTCGTAACAAAGTGTGAAATTGGAACAGCAAACTTTGATGAGCGCAAACGAGCGAGAAAACACGACGGAGAAAGTCCTTTTATACACAACTTCATCGTAACTCGAGAAATCACTGATTACGAAGTCCCATTTTTGTCGTTTCGTGCTGACCTGTGCCATCGAGAAATCAATGGTGAAATCGGAACTGATATGAATCATTTGTTTCAAATTGAGCGTTTCTTGAATTCTTCGAACTATAATTTCCAACTGATAAGTTTTTCCCAATGGTCACCAACAAGGCAAATTTTGAGTAATCGGCTGTAGATCTCATATCGATCTGTAATTGATCGATTGTAATGGTCGACCGCCGGAATTCAGCTGTCTCTGGCCTAGGAGCCTTTTTCGGTTCCACTCGACCTAACTGTATTTTAAGCATTTCGTTATAATAGTGACTGAAGCAAACGGAATGTTTCGTCGATAACATTTCTTTTATTAATTTTCTGCTTTCTGAGACAAGCAAATTAGTTTGTTTTGAAAAGCTTCACTACCGAATCGCAGCATATTGATTGTATCTTACAAAATAGCACAAATATGGAATGAAGATAGCTTCACAAAAACCTATTATCAATGAAAATTGGTTTATTTTCAATATCTCATCAATGCAATATGATATCAATATAACAGAGCATGAAATGTTGAATTCAAAAGCAACAAACAAAATGAAAACCATAATCCGAATTGAATGTGATCACAACTGTAAATGGAACAAGACACGTTATTGTTTAGAAAAAAGCAGTGAAGTGAGCAGAACGAAGAGCAATATAAAATTTCAAATGGTATTGAATACTTTCATAACGAGTTTTATAAATGTCCAGCAACTCCCACTTTGGTACTACACCTCAAATTCATGGCCAAATAAGATAGCGATTCAATAGTTCTCAGACTTTTGCAGAATTGATTAGTTCAGCAAAATCAAAAAAGTTCGCCACTAATCAAAGTAAATTCAATCTATTCATTCAGCTGAAATGTTCGCCTTTCTTAAAATTGAGATGTGACGGAAATGAAGCAAAAACTGAGGATACTCCCAACCGAAGAATGGGATGAATGTTAAATCTGTGGAAATATTGTTTATCACGAGGTCGAAATCAAATGAACGTTTCTGCTTAACAAATCATAGATGAATGCTTTGTTCCAGATAGTACATAACTTATTTAAGAAATATCTGACTTGAAAAATACGACTGTGCAAAAACCTGAATGTGCTTAATATGAGGTTCGAACATCTGAGTTAAAAACGATTCTGAGACAGTGTATATCTCTACAAGAAGTCACCACAAAAGATTGGCATAAGTTAATAAATTAACAACATCAGTAATCAGCATATATTCGAAGTTTCAAATTCAAGTCGAATCTAGACGTTCACACTGTCTCAAGTTACAACAGAGAAAAATGATTCACTGCTCTTGCGGATACGTCAAGGATATTGAGAAATTCAGAACTAGAACTCAACATCCGAAATCATTTGCAGAACTCTAGAATGTGTAAGTCATTTTCATCCTCTCAAAGTATTTAATATCGAGAGATCAGTTTCCAATAACTGTCAGTTCGTAAAATCCAGATAATTCCGAGTAAATCCTTATCCATGTAAATATATACAAGTTTGATACGGCACAGTTATATACACAAGTTAAGAAAACATAGTCAATGTGAACAAAAAATACAGCGTAAGTTGGTTGATAAAGTTATGAATGAATAAATTAAGCATACTCCTGAGGAATTCATAGGTGATCAATACAATTATGTATACAATATTCGGTTATCCCGACTGACGATAAAAACTTATTGGCTGACGTTGAAATGAACCTAAGAAATCAACCGCACACAAGTTGACATTAACTGAACACTAACGTCAATGTCCAATGAGTGGTTTTACCACTGCAAATCAGAAAATTAAAAAAAAATTCTTTTTTAATTTTCTGAACAGATTGGATCAAATTTGCTGTTTGGCAGATCAATCCTGTCAAACTTTGGTCTCATTATTATGCTCTCAAAACTGCGCTAAACTTTCATCACTCCTCAACCGAAGTGACCAAAACGAATCGAAAAATTCTCGGCACATAATCGAATGAGCACGAAATACTAAGTAACCAAAGACTGGAATATATTTGCTATTTTCGTGAACAAATATAATATTTATGTTATCTTACAAACACTAGAAGAAATTACTTCTGAAATAGGTTTTGATCAGGATTATTCATCTCTAAGAGGATTCTCTCACTTATCAAGTAATAAACGAGTTCTCCTGAGCTCATATTCCATTTACCGATTCGAACGAAGTGAACCAATCACTAATAACGATCAGATAAGTACGTGGTTCGTGTGTTTTGATTGTCTGGATCATCCTGGTCAGTGCTACTCTCACGATCAGTGCATTCTCGCTCGTTCGAATGCTGCTGCTGCTGTTGCATGCAAAACTCTTCGACGTCGTTTTCAATTGGCGTTTGCGCTTTGATGCATTCAATGCTAATTTTGCGGTCATCAACACAAGAATTGCTCAAAAATTTCGCGTTTTCAATTTTCGTCACCTCGGCGTCCACTCGTTTTTGTTTTGCCCTTCTGAAACTTATATTCAATTTTGAGTGTTGCCTTTATCATAATATGGTAACAAGTCGAATTTCTAGGCTACCATATACCGTTCATGGCTTAAAAGTCGTAAAGGCGTAGCGAATATGCTGTGAAAAGCATTAGGTATGTTAGTTCAACTACAGACAGCACACGCAGATGGAAATACAGACTTGAACAGTCGGATCTGCTGATTCATGTTAGCCGCTTGTACAGCGTCATGAATTGATGGATAGAAATGATCCTTGGATACGGATTTGTAAAATCCACACGCTTCGAACATGTCTCGTATGGGTGCTGAAAATATTTATCGAAATAGAGCCGCCTTAACCACTTGAGCAACTGGATCAACATTTCGCGATCATATTGCGCAATGCTCTAGGCATTAGCGACTGCTTCAACGATCCAAACTAACGTACGTAAAAGATTACGTAAAAAGGCAGATTTTTCAAGGCAATTTGTTCATAAGTATAATGATCTTCATACAGAGTATTCCAAGATAATCCGTGGGTATTTCAATGTGGTTTGCAGTTATTTCAGAACGATCGTCAATTTCGAGTAGTTGTTTAGCGTTATGATAGAATTATGAGCATTATGCACCTTTAGCGCCAGCGAAATAAACTTGTATTCCATTATAACGCGTTTGTTGATAAATTTCAATCAGTGAGTTTACACTCATGAAGTCAACAAACGTAAAACCTGAGCAATCAATTATAAGATGTTCAATACGACGCATTGCTGAATCGTGATATTCACTCTGCAAATTCGGAACACTTTCATTCAGTTAATTAGTTCGATAGATTGATTTTTTAGGCGTATACGTATTTCGATGAAACAAGAAAAAAATAGAACGGTACAAAATGATTGACCGATTACCTCAGAAGAACTTCTAAAATGAGCGTTTTGGGTCCAATGACACTCGGAGAAGGTAAAATAAATGGATTTAACGTAGAAATGAATGTCTCGGTTAGCATACTTGCGTTCAGCTGACTACCGCATCGTAGAGATTTAGCTGAGAATTGAATGCTTCCAAAAAAACAAACTTGATAATAACAACGCAATTCTTGGACATGCAACAGTGATAACTAACGATGGATCGCTTGAAACTCGTCCTTTTAACAGCACATTTCTTGCGAATAGCTTTATTCGGACATTCCACTTCAAGAACGTTATCGAGTGTCGCTAGACTCATTACCGGACATGTGATTGTGGCCTTCTCAACCGCACTTCGGAAGTGGTCGACATTCGTGAATAGCTGAAATGATATTCGTAAACTGAAGCTTGCTATTGTCGTCCGCATGAATATATCATTCTGAAACAACATTTCATTTTGAACACATTCGTGTGTAAGTATCGCAATGCGTTCACCACACTATCGAATTGCAACACCACTTTTAATCTTCGAACATTCATTGTTTTCCAAGACTTCAAATAAGCTGTGAACTCATCACAAAACCAACACAAATCAAACCAATGATCACAACTCACAAGAGGAGCATCAAAACGAAATATGCGAATATGGTCTATGTCCGTAACACGACCGTAACGTCCGGTATCACGGTAATCATCAGTTCCTTCCAGTCGTGACAGCAAATGCCATCGTGGCCTAAAACAATGCGTAATAGTGAGCATTATCAATCAAATAATCGTAAAACTGATTACTGTTTCACAAACTAGCTATGTAATTATAAAGTTATACAACAAACGATTTCGCTTCTACATTAAGATATCTATTATATAATAATAAATAAACAATGGTTATTCAATGGAATACGTTTACAATTCAGCTGTTGTACAGAAATCATAATCTTCTAACCACTGTGTTCTAAAGACGGTCGTTAACAATGCGAATGCCACAGAAAGCACCAACCCCCACATTACGTTTGTGAATACGGTACATATGAAACTAAACATCCAAATCGCCTGCAAAACAAAGTCGTTCATAAAATATTACCAGACAATAGCATATAAACTGCTGCAATTCGAAAATTTTTAGTGAAAAACTTCATAAGGAAATCTGATGAACCTCCACATTCAACAGAATGAAAAATGAACAAATGCACATTTGATGTTTGGAGAATCGATTGAAGAAATGCTGTGAGGTGTAGAAGTGGAGAGGTGAATGTAAAACTGACAAAATCGACTTTGGAGACGCGCCACAAGCATTGTAATTCATCACGCTTCCGGAAAATGTTCTTCATCGAGAATATGAGTATGACCGCGAGAATGCACATCGGTAAATACTGCAGATATGGACTTAGCCATAGAATGACGACCAAAACGAGTGCTGAAGAGAACAGCGCTGATAGCTGCGTCTTACCGCCACTTTCCTCCATCAGCATCGAACGGCCAAGTGCTGATGAGACCGGATAGGTGAGGAAACACGAAGAAATGACACCCGTGAGACCGATTGCATACAGCTCCTGAATAGGTACACGACGTGTTTCATGGAAACATGATTCAACCTTTTGATCAGATCATAAAGCCTTATGAACAAATTCAGTCACATTTCTTATCACTGTCGCTGATAGTCACATCTCACCTGATTATTATCAGTACTGTAGATGTGACGTCTACTGAACACTTTACACATCGACAAATGAACTGCCACAATAACAAAAGCAATCTCGAACGCATCCTTGTACACGTATGGAATCAGTTCAAGACGAGGCATTTCTGCACTCGGAAATCTGAAACATTCATCTGGCGATTTCAGGGCTTTTAATGAATGCATTTGGCCAAGCAGATCATGAATCATTCAACTCTTCATGAATCATTTCTTTTTCTCTTCATTTCTTATGATGCCAAAAAACGTGAATGTTTACAAGCTGCAAAAGGAGAAAATAAATGATGCATCTCAGTTGGTGTAGAATTAAGATTTGACACATTCCGAATATTGAAATCTGCAGGTGGGTATTAAAAGCGTACCCGACCGGTACGACGCCGACAACTTTCATTTGGTATCGTTGCTCGAATGCGAATATATACGATACGACTGTGGCGAGAGTAACCAACATCAATTCGAACGGTAACGGTACGCATTTGAATTTCTTGCGAAAAAGCGGATTGATGCAATCTTTACCTGAAATTTTCATACATCATCAACAAAGTTATCGCTGTTTCATAACAGTATTATCCATCGTTTTGATTGTGATCAATTCAGTGTGAGACATTAGCAGGGAATTTATATGTAGTTCATGTATCTCATCAATACAGTGCAATGCCTTGCACAATGCCTTCGCTTGAAACTAATCATTACATTCATCAGTTACTTGTTGAAATGTTATCGCCGGCTACTTCTGTTCTAGATTGCTGAAAGCGATTCTGATCAGATTTTGAATTCATGATAAGATGAAACGAATCGCATGGTGCAAAATAGAACATGCATATTATTTTCTTTTATATCATACATTTTAGATAAGTTCCAAAGTTGTTTTAGATTTACGAATTATCACAGAATGTGAAATGAGTAGATGTTTTTCTTGGGAATGCAATACATTTTTTAGGTTGCAAACATACAAATATCGGTGATGTATGTCCTGCGGAGATGAAACGAATACAAAGCAGACAAAATTCACTACTCAGAGCTATGGTGGTGTTCTAATTCAATTGTAAACTTAAGTGTTAGGTGTAAAAAATTAATAGTACAACCACCACCCCACAACAATTAATATCGATGAAGTTTACGAATGATACCTTACACAAAGTCGATTTTTGTCCTCAGAAAAATCATTTCGCTATTTGTCGCAGTGAACGTAGACGGATAATCAAGAAATTTGAACAAATCAATAAATTCAGATAACGTAATCAGTATTGATTCATTCGAAGTGTCATGCATTCAGAATCTTCTAAAAATGATGTAACACTTACCAATATATAAGAAAATGAATGCACACATTGAAAGCAGAAAAGTGACCACGTTCATATCACCGACTTTTGATAAAACACTGACCAGTTGCTGAAAAAGAAGCGTTTAGCTTAATCGGTTGCTAAGATTGCTACAAAATCTTTTAGGAACGAACTTATATTCGGTTAAAATCGATTTGATTACGAAGACAATTTGAACAAACTTACCTTCATGAAGGTGGAGGAAATGAAAGAACGTAATGATAGCGTTTCAGAATTCGGAAAAGATATAAACAAAATTTCGAATAAACGAAAGAACGAAAGAACTGAAGTACAGAGGAAAGCACGGAAAATACTAAATGAAAAATCCATAAATTGACTATGAGAATGTGAAAACGGAACAAAAAGCGAATCATTTACCATTAACATTCCGCCTGGCCCGTTAACGCTCTGAACGTCAACCTAAAATTAACGACCGATTAACTGATGATTTGTTAAACGCTTTATATTCTATAAAGGAATAGCAAGAGAACGAGATGAAACTGCAATAGAATAATGTAATTTTTTGGTGAAACTGAAAAAAAATCTATCAAAAAATACGAAATCGACAGGTACTTGAAATATTTTATCGAGTTGTACGATAATCACATGAACGCTAGCACCTGTACTAAAACCCGATACAAGCTGGTCAGATAAATACGACGTCACAAATTCCACTCGTAATAATGCCATTAGCAGCTGCAAATATTTTTTTAATGAGCTGCCTCTGGATGATATCTCTCTTCAAGAAATTCACCGGCAAACTCTTGATTTTGACTGCGTTTTGAGTTTCATCTCATTGTCAGCATAATGACTGATTGAATGGGAGAAAACCAAAATAACTTCATGAATAAATCCTCTCACACCAAAACCAACTTATCCATCGCCATTATGCAAAATCAGATTCGTTTTGAAGTGAATCGCCAACTCACATGAACGAACCCTACACACAACGTTATTACAGTGACCACTTGAATACCACTAACACCCTTCAAATGAAACGGAACATAATCGGTTATATTCCTCAAATCCACAGACGTATAACCGAGCTGTGCCACCTGTTCCAGGTAATGACCTTCATCGTGCAAATATTCATCATGTATTGTCTCTAGTATTTCAGCTCTCGATGTGCCTGTCATCAGACTGATTATCGCAAACGAACCTACAAATTGTCATCATGATTCTCAAAGCTAGAATTCAGAGTTAACATTTGGAGGAATAATTTCAACTCAAGATTTACAGCAATAAGTAACGGTCTTTCGTATGAACCGAAATTAATATCCGCAGCTGCTTTTTCAGTCAATGGCTAATAAACTGATCTTCTTTCGATCACAATATACGCTTTAACGAGAGTGCCTCTAAATATATGACCCAAATTCACGCCGTAACAACAAAGCGAATTAATTCGTACTAAGCACCTGACGTTTGTGATGCTTGCACAACATTTGAAGGAATTTTTCTGTTAGGATCGATAAAATATTTATGGTCATTATTCGTAATCTTTTCGATTTCGGCATCAAAACTGAATTCATCCTCATTCACCTGCACATACATTTGGTATGCCAAGCTTCTCAACAACAGTATTCAACTATAAACTGAGCAATTCATCTAAAGTTGTTCTGTGATCAGGTAGCACTTGGCTTCTAAAAAGATTAACATTGCTGATCTTTGAAACGTTTTGAAACGAGAAGATATACCCGTGAGGATAACAGAATGTATAGAAAGAATGGATTGTATAATGAAACGAGTGGATTTAAAGACAAATTGCTTCAAGAAATATTGATTCCATTGCGAAAGGATGGTCTAGAAAGCTGCACTTTGAAGACATTCTTTTAAGTTCGGAAAATATATTATCCTAAATGGAGATGGTCTTGCTACTGAGCTAAATTCAATTTAATCATTTTCTCTGGCTTAGCCAACTGGAGCACAGCAATTGCAAAGACTGCATCAGTTTTATGCAAAGATTATCAGACCGTTAATTACTTCTTTACATATCTTAAGGAGAAAGAATAAGAAGCACACCATTTCTGCTCGAAATTTTTATTTCAATGAAACTTTCTTAAAGGATACATGAACCCATCTTGTTGATTTGGATGTGACAAACAGAGTGAACATCGCACGATTGCTGACTATCTCACACATAGAGCGATTCCGCAATCGGAACAGATAATTGATAAATGCACGAACCAATTGAGACATGATGTGACGTACCAAAGACCATATAGAAAAGAACTGGAAAAAATGACGAATAGAGGCCATAAACTGGATCGACGCCCTGAAGAATAGCATAGGCGATGCCTAAAAGAAGGAGCATTTGTATCGCATCAACTTCAAGCATTATTCGACGCCAGTAAGGTCGTTAACACATCATTCAGTGTTTCTGAATGGATGATTCGAAACTGAAAAATCAATGAACATACCTTGAGGTACATGCATAATTCCAACCGTAATTCCGGCCATAAAGTCACCCATCAAATTTCGCTTCCATCTATAATCGGGTAGCCAACCGACTATTGGAATAAACGACACAATGAAACGAACGAACTGCTCTGGACTTAAACAGGGATGAAAGACTTTCAATATGAATTTTCGTTTCTTGTCTTCCACTTGTGGCGGTGGTAGAAACAAATACGTTTGATCGAATTCCTCCTGAAAAAAAGAAAATATTTTGCTTCTTTAATATTTCATATTTTCATGATTTCTCCTGCAGTTAATTGGATCGTTTTATGACTTCGCTCGAACAGGACAAGAATTAGATTCACTTCGCTGAATTGTTTGACTTGTTTAAGTGCCACTATTGCGCCAAAATCCGCTTATACTCATCGTCAGTAATGAAACAATTTTTGACACTCTGAGAAAGAAGACGATTGAAATAAGAAAAAGAAATTCAGGAACTGAAAAAATATGCGAAAAATTATTTTGCTGGTAAATGAAATCATTCAAAAATTCGTCCGAAGAAAACTGTGATGATGAGATGATAGGATGAACGGAAGATTTAATATGATTTACGAGCAATCGATGTAAATTCCGATCTGAATACTTAATGATTAATTTGATTCGCAAAAGAAGTGAATCCGACTGACCTGTCGCAAGAAAGTTTCACGCAACGACGTGATATGTGTGGGTAATTCACTGTCGGCGACATTTTTTGGCATGTTTCAATTCAGTGAACAATAAAATAAACAATCTGAAGATTAGTCACGATTAAATGCTGACAATTCCAATTCGGATCATATATCTCGATAGCAATAACAGTTCTCGTAAATAAAATTGACTGCGAGAAAACTTCAGAATGCACATAATTATAATTTACAGCTGATATCACCAAATGAATAATTGGTTAAAAAGAAAAGAGGGAATGCAGATGAACAACACATCATTTTCAGTTATTGACTACTATTAACCAAATACAAACTGGAATTAATTTTTTCAGGATGTTCAAGTGGGTACAAGGTCATGATCACTTACAACAGACCTGGGAATAAGCTATTATGGAAATCAACATGCAAATCAACAAATCAAGATATATATATATATATAT